ATCCAGACTTGAAGGAATTGAACACATCCAATGAATCTACCTCTGCCAGATCTTCGGCAATGGTTGAGAGACCAAAAGGTCTCGGCTGAGATGGTCTGTGCTGGGTTGACTCGTTTCGGAAGTTGCTCAAACAGTTCCACCACGGCTGCGTCAATGCATCCCAAAACCTTCGAAAAGATGATCAAGCCATACAGACCTAGTGCAAAAAGGTCTATAGTCTTCCATTCATCAGGTTGGTCCTTCATTAGTTCCCTTATGTGGATCCACTCAATTCCTTGCCCGTTACCTTTGTTTCGGAGTCGGTCAGTCACCCATTTTTCATCAACTCCTACAATCTTAGCCAGTCCGTTCTTGAAAGGCTGACTCTTGATGTGTTTGATGTAGGCTCGCTCCAGTTTAATGCTTTCACAGTGCAATAGTGTAGTATACTCCTCGATGGTAGGTACCATGTCCTCCTGGTTAAAAGTGAAGCAACTGTATCCCAGGTTCCAAAATTGAACCAAGACTCTAATTAAGGGCTCATCGGTTTTAACATGAAGCAAAAGTGCAATGTCACCATACCGCTGACTGAACTTCTGTTTCCGATCATTCTTCCAATTATCTCAGATGTCTCGAAGTTCTTGCACATTATTCTGTTTTAGGCGGATAGAGGCGTAGCTAACTAGCTCTGACACATAGCTTCCTTGAATACTGTCTCCATTTTCCTTCTGAGTCTTCTCGGACCATAGTCGTACCTCGGGGTTTTTAATCTCTTGTATTACAACACCTTTGTCCGTGGATTCAGATTATTCGAGTTTTAACAAACACGTTTTAGTGGATCAATGACCTCTTTTATGATGCAAGTGATGAAAATAAAATAAAAGAAAAGAAAGATGAAAAGAGTTAGTGAGGTGAAAAAAAAATAATCAAAAACTATCATAAAAATGAAAGTCCTACCCCACATGATATCTACCCCACATGCTTATTATTCCTACCCGGACATGATATCTACCCCACATGCTTATTATTCCTACCCGGACATGATCTCTATCCCGCATGCTAGTCTCAAACAAATCCTAACCGCATATTTGTCTAGTTCGCATGCTTTGAACAGAAAGTAAGGCATGAAATAAAATCAAAGCAGCCTAAGGTTTGGAATGAGGTTTTGGGGTGGGCTCTAATTCTCCATCGTCTCCCGGTTTAGGTTCTAAAAAAATGGTACCCGAGTTCTCCTTGCCGGTGCCCCCTTGGGCTTGCCAGACCCTTAGTCCTAAACCTATCACAGGTTTGTGTGGACTAAGTTAAACTCGAGAGGAAACATTCCCTTATGCCCACACGGAGAATAAATTCACACGAAGGCATAAGGTATATGTATCCCGAAGGCTACTTGCTAGGCCCTCACGGTGAATAAATTCACACGAAGGCGTCGCTTTCACCCCCACTTAAAGCAGGGTTTGGAGCTCGGGTTTAGAGCCTTGGATGAAAAATCTTTAAGGGCTGAAATCATTAAAAAACGGTCAGTACAACTATTTACTCGAAAATATAATCAATAGTAAGTAATAAGGATCGAAATGTTACCTTAAAATTTAAACTTACCATTTTCATTAAAAAGACAACTGAAAATTACCTTAGCCTGACTCACTTACCTGTGTCCCCAGCGGAGTCGCCAAGCTGTCGCAACCGTCTTTCGGTTGTGCCCCGGAATTGGGCTTCGACTTAAAAAATATGGATTGGAGTCGCCACCGATCATTTATTTAAAAATAAATGGGTTGATCGGATACCCTATTTCTTACCTGATCTGCGTCTTACCAGAAATATGTCGGGCTCGGGAGTCGGTTACGGTCAAGGAAGGATTAGCACCCTTGAACCGCCCTTTCGGTACTATGTAATTTCCAGTTGTCTTAATTAAGAAAAATAACAAGTTAAATTAAAAGGTAAAGTTTTGATCCTAATTACTTACCCTTGATTGATTTGAAAATATCCTTTAAAAAAATCGAGAAATGTGTTAGATAAACAATGTAAAGAAAACAAATAAGATACAAAGGAAAAATAAAATAAATAAGTAAGATAAGAAAAAAAATAGTAAAGTAATAATTATATATAGTAATATTTGAAAAAAGGAAAAAATATAAATATATATATATATATCAAAGTATTAATAAAATAAATAAGCTATATATATACACCAAATACTTAAAAATAAAAAAGATACCCTCTCAATTCACCGAAAGTGGGGGGTTTTAGTAAGAAATAAGACAAAAAAATGGGTCCTCTAGGTTAGTAATATATAATATAATGTTTAATAATAATAATGATAAGGACACAAGGTTTTTTTAAAAAAAATAAATGTATAATAATAATGAATAAAAAAATGAAAATAATAAAAAATAATATAAATATATAAAGTTATAAGATATATTACATAAATAAAGAAATAATCAAATAAAAATAATTAAGAATATATATATTTAATAATAAGTATATAGATAAACTATTAAAAGTATAAAAGATATATATGACTAAATAAAGATAATTACAATATATATATATATATAGTAATATTAGACTTATAAGTAAAATATTAAAGAAATATATATATATATATATATAATAATAATAAAATATAGTAAAAAAATAAATAAAAATAATTTAATATATATATATATATATACATATAATAATAATAACATGAATAATAAAAATAAATGAATAAAATATCCATATAATAAATAAAGTGACTAATATAGATTTTTAAAAAGCTCTTCCCCTCCTTTAACTGAAAATCAAACCGATTTTTAAAAAATAAGCCTCGGGGTAGATGTAGGTTCGAAACTTTGAAACTCCACCCATTTTGGTCATCGGCACAACCCACGTTTTGGGTTATTCGAATCAAATCTCAAGAATAATAACGTGCACATGCAAAAGAAATAAAAAGGAAAATGCTACCTTTTATTTCCTTTTCGAATCCTTTACAATAGCTTTGTCTTTGTATCTTCCCGTGCTTTCCTCTATGTTTTGTGTGTAAATCGTGTCACAATGGTGAGTTACAATGGCTATTTATAGTGCTTGTGGATCCTATCTTTAGGAATTTAAATAATAGTATAACTCTATCATATTTTTAGGAGTTTGAATCCTAGCAAAATTTTATCCTATTTTTAGGAGTTTGAATCCTAAAATTCTATCCTATTTTTAGGAGTTTGAATCCTAATAGGACGAAAAATGTGTGTTGACAATTAGCAATATGTAATTTTATATAATAAGTAATTTTTAATATATTAATACCAACAACCGTTAAAAATATAATAATTATATTTAATTTAATAAATTTTAAATTTCTATTAATTTATTAATGGTTGTCCCTTGTTCTCATATGTAATGGGATAAGAGGGAGGTAAGATAGTAGGCTGTCCCCAACACTAAGTTGAGAGCAGCTTCCGTAAGAGACCTCCAAATTATGAAATGTCCTCCATGGGACTCGATCCCACGACCTCAAGGTTAAGAACCTTGTGCTCTACCAACTGAGTTTGATGGTCATTTCTATTAATTTATTAATGATATGTCTAAATTAGGAATATGCATTTGATATGAATCTAATGGAATCCAAACTGATCTAATCTTATTAGATTATTTTAAAAAAAAAAGTTTGGATCAAATCATATTTTTTTTAAATAAACGATTAAAAAATCCTAAAATTTATACCACCGCCGATTAAAATCCTAATTTTTTTATGGACAAAATTATATCTATAATCTCTAAAAAAATCCTAAATAAAAAAATATATATTGTATATGATCAATCATATTAAAATTAAGTTAAAATACACAAAATCTTAAATATTATTATATCAATGTGAATCATGTGAGAGTGCACCAAATTCAAACAAAATCCAACCTTTCGGCTAACCTAATTATAAAAAATTAAGTTCTAGATTGTATAACCTTTGGTTTAGGGATTTTGGAAAGGTAATACTCTCAAGTCATTGTTGAAATGAAAAAAAACATTTCATAAAGTTGAAGATACAATTAAATTAAAGGTTTGGTTTTATGTATTCATCTTAATAAGCGATGGAGAGGGACGGTGGGGTAATCGTTCCTCTGAAAATTTAAAATTATAATATAAGTTAGATTCTTTTTATGTATTTTTTACTTAAAACATGCTTTGCGTTCCCCCTAACGTTTTATAAGTTTATTTATTCTTAAAATTTTAAAAATTCACCTTTCTAACATAAAAATCTGCGTATGTCCTCGATTTTAATTAACTTAAAGTTTGTGTTTTCCCCCATTGTGATGAAGTTAGATCAAATTAACTCCAAAATCCCAATGTGCATGTGTTTCGTTACCCAACTTAGGGACTGTTTGTTTACTTCAGAATGATTAAACGTTGAATAATTTAAATGCTGAATGATTCAGAGGCTCTGTATGAATTAGCTCTGAATGTGACATGTTATTTGATAATGGCTCTGAATCATTCAGAATGTACTTCTGTGCTGAATCATTCAGCACTGTTTTGTTGAATCAGTCAGCACTGAATCATTCAGAGGTGCGAAACAAACGCGCTGAATGCTGAACCGTTCAACATTCAGCGCTGAATGATTCCATTAAGAGGCAAACAAACAACCCCTTAGATTCAAAGCAACTTATAGAGTTATTTTAATTGAATTACATATATACAATTTAAAAAAAAAACTATTTTAATTAAGATTATTATTATTATAGCACAAATTAAATAATTTTAATAATTAAAAAGGTGGTTGTTAAATTTTAAATTTAAATATAATGTATATAAAAATATTTAAATATTTATTATCAAATAATTAAAAAAAATTAATAAGATATTATTTTACAACGATATCGTGATAATAAAAAAATTCTTACGAGATGAACGGCCAGATTCACTCAAAATTTGCTGACATGGGAATTATTAGAGTCCACCCTCTCTAAAGCTTCAATCATTGCCTTCTCACCCGCTCCACTATCTCACTCATTTATAAGTCCTTTCTCAGTGGAGAATTTTTGTGGAAGACAAACGAAAAGTAAAATTTTGGTTCAAATCTCTTCGTTTTCTTAGTATAAGGTCGATTGGTGTCTCTGGGTTTCTTTGAAAATCAACAAAAAAGAAAGGACCTGAGGTATTTGCACAGTTCCTTAAAGAGAATCCACAAAGCCAAAAGGGAAGGGAATTGAAAGGTTTGTGAAGAGGAAATGGTTTTCATGTGTGAGATTTTCTTCACTGGAGGAAAATTAGAAGAAGGAGAGTGGGAGAAGGAGAGATAACACAACAACTAGAAGAAGATCCAATTTTGCCTAAAATTCCATGAGTAACAGAAGTGGAAAAAGAGGGATCTTTAAGCAAAGAACAAGAACCCAAAGTTTTTGTTTCATCTGCTCAACTACTGGTAATTCCTTTGAACATCCTTTTATTTTTCTTTTGATTTTGGTTGGGAATTCAATCGGGCATTTTTTATCATGATAATTGGCTTGTATGAGTACAGAATTTTGAACAAATTAGCAAAAACTGCATAATCTTTAGTTTTAAGGTGAGAAGATTTTATGGGAATCCATTGGTTTAGTTGTTAATGATGTCATTTTATGTCAAAGTTTGCAACTTTAGGGTAGAAGAGCTTAATCAAACTTATGGTATTTTGTTTGGTTTCAAGCAGGGGTAATTGGCAATGTCTGCTACAATAATGAATGAACCGATGGTGGTTTCAGCACCAACACAAGAAACTCAAGCAACACCAGCAAAACTCGTCGCACAAACCGATGTCGAGTTCGCCAAATGTGATTGCTGTGGACTTACCGAGGAGTGTACCCCGGCCTATATCGAAACGGTATGCCAACGGTATCAAGGGAAATGGATATGTGGCCTCTGTGCTGAAGCAATCAAAGATGAGATCATAAGGACTGAAAGGCTTATCAGTACTGAAGAAGCTATGGTTAGGCACATGAACTTTTGCCAAAAATTTGTCTCCTCCGGACCGCCTCCTGATCCTACGGTTCATCTCATATCTGCTATGAGAAGTATTCTTAGAAAAGGTTTAAGATCGACCCCTCCGATCAGTCCTACCGGAAAGGTCCGCAAAATCCGAGTCCCGGGTTTACTCGGTCTGAACGATGTTTCACTACCATGTCTGGTTGATAGAGGTATAAGAGATGATGGAAAGGGGATAAAGAGCATGGAATGAACATGGCGGTGGAACACAAGAAAAGGGCCAGATGCATGTAGGTTTTCTCATAGTTGAAACTTTGAAAGAGTTGGGTTCAAGTTCCCCCCTTCTTCATAATTGTATCGTTGATTGAAACAAAGAACAAGAAGTTAAACGAAGAACAAAATCAATTTAATGTTAAGTGTAAACTTAGAAGCTTATGTAGATTTTAATGTTTGGAATGGGATTTACATGATGGGATCAAAGAGTTAATTGCATAGTAGGTTTCCAAATTATGACTTTCCATTCTAAATCGGTTATTAACTTCAACATTTCCTTTTATTAGCGAGATCGTTCAATAGGTTTCGAGTTAAAATCTTTAACGGAACACAAATGGTTGAACATTTTGCCGCAGAAGTTGATATTCTTACAAAAATCAGCAGCAAGAACGTGTTGTTACAGTGGCAACAAAACATTGGAATTGTCTTGTCTGCTAAAGAAATGGATGAAAGATTGAAGATGTTCACCATCGTTGGAGCTCAGTACATGAATGGGACAAGTAGGAGAGCAATAACATTAGAACCAGTTGTGGACAGCACAGCTCAGCTGCTTAGTGATATGTTTTAATGGTTAAGTAGCCCTTGACAGACGGAAGTTTCTGAAATGGGGATTTTAAGCGAATGGGGCCTGTTAAGTGAAAATGAAACTAACATGTCTGAAATGTAACCAGTGGGGTCTAAGGCTCTGATTTGGTTAATCTAAAAGACAGATCATCTGACTCAGCTGTGGACCCCACCTCTCCCAACCATATCAACCTTCGGATCTGATAAAAGCAAAATGCAAACCCTGTTTATTTTGGTCTAAAATAGAGATGGGCATGGGTCGGGTCGGATTTTTGATCCACCGACCCGAGAACAAAGGATCCTCTATCCGAGACTGACCCTACCAAAACAAATTTCACCCGATCCGAACTCGACCCAACATATAACTTAGTAACCAGACCCGAAATAATAATAAAAATATTATTTTTATTTAATAAAAACAGTGATTTAATTGAAAAAAATTATATATAGAGGGATATTATTGTAATTATTCATAAATATATAAGATAAAATTATATATTTTTTCGGGTTAGATCTAATATTTTACCTTAAATCCGAATCCGACCGAACATCATACTTAAAAAAACCGACCCGTTCCGATCCGGTCGGATCAGATCGTAACCCGTCGGATTCGGGTTCAATGCCCATCCTAGTCTAAAACAATCCTTCAGATGATTGCTTTGTTTTGAACATAAAGAAATCAATTCTTCAAATATTTTCGTTATTATTATTTAACAATAATAATATTAGGGATGGCAAAAAAACCCGAATTCGACGGGGAAAACTGAAAATCGAATTAAACGAGTTGGGTTTGGGGATGATAAACGGGGACGGGGATGGGTTTGGTAATCCCCGCCCCGATTACCCGATTACCCTGCCCGATAAATATTAAAAATAATTATTATATATATATAATTAATAAATTTAATTTAAATTAATATATATATATATATATTTATATATTTAATTTAAATATATATATATACCGACCCGATACCTGTTTAAATAACAGTTTATGCTAAACGGGGATACCCGTTTCCCCGCGGTTTTCCCCGATTACTCGATGGGGATCCCTGTTTAAATCCCCGCGTTTTTTAAGCGGTGACGGGTACGAATTTTTTAATCGGGAACGGGAACAGGGGGACCAATACCCGGCCCGAACCCGGCCTGTTACCATCCCTAAATAATATACACTCAATGCTCTTGATAATCACTTAAAAAAATATAAAGGGTAAACTACATAAATAGTTATCAATAATATTATCACTAACAAAATGATCAATGATATTATCATTTTATAACAAATCGATCACTCGATTGTTAACGAAATAAATATTTTATCTACTTCATCTCATCTATCTTCTTCCACAAATATATAGTTTGCTTTAGTATTATTTAATTTTATTCCGCATAAATTTATTCATATTTTAGTAATTATTTATATACTTCACCTATTATTTAAAGTTTATAGTCAGCAAGATTTATTTGTACAAAGGATAAGTAATATAAACAAGTCATCTCTTTTTTTAATAGTATGAGGTTATTACAAAGTAGTCTATATTTATAATTTTCTTAACTTATTGATAATGCACACATACTGCAGACCTCGTTTATTAAACTCAAAACCTCTAAAGAGATCAATATACCCTAATAAAACGTACAAAAGTACATTAAGATTAAAAATATTATTTACTTATTTGTATCGGTCTAAGTTAATTATTTTTCTTTTAAATTTTCTTATTTCACGTGTTAAATACTTACACCGGTATAAGTTATTTTTTCCAAAACTTTCTTGTTTAACTGATTAAATACTTACATCGGTATGTATAAGTATATTGATTCTGTGGTTGCATGCAGTATAGTTTAATGTATATTGTTTTCCTAATTCTTAATTCCCATATAAAGTTATAACCTCTATTAAATCTCTCTCTCAAAGATACCCTTTACACCACCAACATGGCCATAGACCATCAAATCACCCCTAAGCCTCATCTAGCCATCACATTCCAAATCCACCATTACCGCCCACGGCGGAGAATCTTCCTCCTCCGCCGAAAAAACAATAGGCTACCAACGGAAACCAGGGGAGCGGGCTTACATAGTGAAGGTTTTGAAGAAGATAAAGTGGGTGATCAAGTTGCAATATACGTGCATGTTGAGGAAGCTAAAGAAACATTATAGGAATTTGATTAAGGATCTGGTGGAAGCAAGTGCTAGCGTCGAGGCTTTGCAACAAAGAATGTTCATGGAATCCTCTTTCGCCGTCCCCGTTATGGGCGTTTCCTTCTCTACTTTCTCTGCATCAGATCGCCCTAAAACCTTGGTGTTTTGATATGTTTTCTGGTTTAAATATGCTCCAAGTCCTTGGACTCTTTGTATATTTGAAATTTACTTCACCTATTTCTATTTTCAGGAATATAGTCCCTATACTTTTTGTATTCGAAATTTCAACTTCGACTGTTAACGCCAATTTTGTTGTTGTTAACTTCGAAATTTCACCCTTAAATTTCATATCCAAACTCTAAATTTTCAAATTATATCCCAAACCCTAAACTCTAAATTACAATCCCACCCACCCTCACCCTTGACGGATTCACCCTCCTACCGACGGACAGTGGCTCATCGATGGCTTTACCGGTGGCTCATCAACGGTGGCTTAAATTATAATCCCCGCCACACCTTCAACAAGTTCATTGCAGCCAATCATTTTAGACTTCTTAACACCATTGGTACCTAAAATAATCTGAGCAAATTCCTCCATCTTTAACTGCCTACTTAACCAACATCTCTCGACAGCAAAATCATGAGCAAATTCTTAAAAAGAGACCCTTAAATCTTAATTTTTTTAAAGATGACTTTATTAACTAAAAAACCCTTACAAGATTCGACCGGAGGTTCTGTGGTTTTGAGCCTAAAATTTTTACAACTGATCCATAATACTTTGTTTGTTTTTTTATTATATCAATAGTAATAAATCTAATTTTTTGGGGTCCTTGCTATTTCGGGATTCTGTTCCGTCGTGCACGTTGATCATGCCTAGCTCCGCCTCTGCTGACGAGAGCAATTGTCAAAGAATAATAAATAAAAGATTGGATCATAACTTGACAAATAAAGTTGTAAGAAAACAACACAAATCGTTTATTTATTTTTGTGGCTGTACATATAACTAAGTGGAAGTGGCTACGTTCATACACTTGTTGCCAATTAATGTATCTTTAAAGTTGTGTTATAAATTGACAAAATTCTTGTTACTTGAAATCTATTTAGGTCGGCGTACATGGTCCTGCTCGACTGATTCATGTCTCCACAAGTTCAATGAAGGTGATATACCTTGTTTACCCAACATGTCACATAATCATAGGATCTTATTTCGCTTGGCTCGAATCAAATTCAGCTTTAAATATTATTTATTATCTTTAAATTAAATTTACTTAAACTTAACATGTTGAATTTTATGTGCTCACTTGTAACTTAATTGTATTTGCAGAATATACGTACATTATCGATAATTAAAATAAATTCTAAATAAATACAACCTTATAATTAAACATATTATCGGAAAAAATAATTATATTTTAACTTTTTCAAAAATAAATTATTTAGAAATTTCAATCGAATTAAGAATCAATATATATGTATGTACGAATTTAAGTCGCAATAAATCTTTTTTATATAGACGATGAATTAAGTGATCCCAATGGCTAAAAGGATGATTATTATGCCTAAAGGTTTCGATTTGAACACGGTAATTAGCTGCTTGTCGGGATATTAAAACTTTCATTATAAACGGTTAAAAGTATTTCAAACCGCTTATAATCACGTCAAACTAGTAAAAAATAATCTTATCTATACATAATAAATGTAACCAATTAAATCATAGTAAATCTACTGTTACAAATCTTAATAATGATAACCACAAATTTAAATCAAATTTAATTACCAAATAAAGGTGAAAATTATCCGTTAATACATTCCAGCAAATCAAACATAATGTTTAGCAATGGGTTGCCATAATAAGCATTAACGCACCTGTACTTGTCGAATATAAAAAGGATGCAAGCAGCCATAACAGCTCCTGCAATATTTTCTGATAAATAATATATATAGTTTTACAAGATGAAGACTCCATTAATACTGCAGAAAGTTGAGTCCACAAGTGTACTCGGTTCGTCCCCAAATTTGCATTTCTCACGGGTAAGTCCTAAATTCATTTAATGTTTTGAATATATAAATGATTTTGGTTCTTTCTCTTGGTTGATTTTGATGATAAATGTGTAACGTCGTTATGACTGGACATTTTTCTTTTAGAAAAATATGAAATAACTGCAAAATTTTCGTTATTTTTGTTGAGAAATCTCTAGTTTCGAATTTCTTTTAATTTCTCGATGATTAAACATCGTCTTTCAAATCTCACTGTTTGAAAAGTAGAGAAGAATGAAGCAATTTGTACGTCTTGATTTCACGTTGATTGAAAATATTTGAACTTACATTGATTTGGGGTGTAATGAGTTTTGAATTTAAGATTGAGTGTTATGAATTCTAAAGTGACCAAAATTAAACTTATTAAAAATAAATTCAATGAGTAATAGTATAGAAAATAAAAAAAAAACCAAAGAAAAACAAATTTAATCTCAGCACACGAATAGTTACAAAAGAGTTATTTTCAACATATGTCCTTAAACTATGACTCTTATTTTAAATTAGTCCATAAACTTTTGAATATTTTAATTTCATCCTTAAACTATGACTCATTTTAAATTGGTCCCCAAACTTTTAAATATTCCAAATTCATCCTTAAACTACGACTCTCATTTTAAATTGATCCCCAAACTTTTAAATATTCCAATTTCATCATTAAACTATGACCCTTATTCTAAATTAGCCCTGAAACTTTTGAACATTCCAATATTATCCCCCCTAAATCATTCAAAACTTCAAAGTTGTGAATATAGCATTTAAAAGTTTGGGGGTTCAACATAGAAAGAGTTCGGGATGAATTACTATGTTCACAAGTTTAGGGATTAATTTAAAATGAAAGCATAGCTTGGGGATGAAATAGAATATTCAAAAGTTCATGTCCCAATTTAAAATGAGGATCATAGTTTAGAGACATGTGGTGAAATTAACTCTAGAAAAAAATATTATTATTAATTTAAACTTATTAAAAATAAAAAAGTCAAATCACATGAATGAAATTTGAGAAATGAATTTCAAATTTAATATCATAAAAGAAATAAAATCAGAATTAAAATTTAAACTAATTTAAAATTAAATATTTGAAATTAATTTTTTTATCTGAAATTAGAATGATTAGTATCTATACTCATTTATTATTCATTGTCATAATTTTGATATATTTCACCAACAACAAAAAAAAACTAATAAAGTAAAGATATGGGTTTAATGCACATTTTTAGTGCAGAGAAATACTATTGTAATTTTCAGACAAGACAAGGTTATAAAAGTAATTTCCTCCCACCACTTTCTCAATACTTTCCCCAACCGCGTCGTTTACTCGGAAAGATGGATCTCGTTTTGACTCAGCAGCCTAATTTCTTTGATTTTCTGAATAAAATAAAGGGTAAAGTGTATAATTCGTCCTCATACTTTTAAATTTTTCATTTTGATTACTTTTAAAACTTAAAATACAACTACTAATTTTTTAATTCATTTTTGTTATTGTCATTGTTGTTAACTCTAATTAAGTAAAATTGACATCACATGTTAAAATTTTATTTCCTTTCAAGGTTAGTCGTCAGCATTACTAAGCATAATATCGATTATACTCGAGAAATTGACCATTATCGTTGAATTATTATCCACCATCATTTTATTCAAGTCTCAAACACAATCAAAGTTTCCTCACCATATACGATTAAACTAACCAAAATTCGAACCATCATCATCCATTTCATTTGATTATCATCCACAGCCACAATCACCGAGAAAAATAGATAAAATATATATCTTTGATGAGTTTTAGATGAATAGAACAATCGTCAACCAAATTCAATGGAAGGAATGATATGTTTGGTAAGATGATTAATGTGGTTCGATTTTGACTTCATCTCACAATTAATAGTGACATATAGAAAAAGTTTAGCTTTTAGTTTCGATTTTAGTGATCATATTATATTTTTAAAAGTTTAATGACTAAAATACAATAATTTAAAAGTTCAGAGACCATCTATATAGTTTACCCTAAAATGAATATTACTCGGTAGAAGAAAATTGATGTCAAAAACAAGAACATCAGTTACATTTAAGCTCCCGAAAAAGAAAATTTGAAAAACGTGTGGACGGTGAGAAAACCGATGCTACTAATCACAAGCTACCACATCGTTTCCTCCCTGTATCTGTATATAAATAACACATCACCCACAATTGAATCCTCGAAAAAAGAAAAAAAAAACGAAGAAGATTCATCAGCCTGTTTCTCACATCTTCAACCAAAAAAACCCAGAACTTTGATCAGAGAAACAGAGGATTTGAATAGCAAAACAATGGCACTGGCAAAAGAAATGATGGGTTGTTCTTTGATCGAGAGATCATCATTTGTTTCTTCATCGAAAGTGTTTCTAAACTGTTCTGGTAATGCGACCTGTTTCCGGCAGAGACAGAACCGGTTCCCGCTGGTCAAGCACGTCCCGTTTCCGTCGGTGCATTCGAGGAAGGTTTTCAAGGCGCCCGTCGTGGCCGCCATCAGTGAAGATTTGATAAAGGCGGTGCCGAATCAAAAGGAGAAGCCTGTTGAATTCAAGGTTAGAGCTTCCGTGACTATCAGGAACAAGAACAAGGAAGATTTTAAGGAGACTTTGGCTAAGCATTTCGATGCTTTTGCTGACATGTTCGGAAGGCATGTCGTGTTGGAACTCATTAGCAATGAACAAGATCCCAGTAAGTGCTTTTTTTAACAATTCTTTCATATTGTTTTGTTTAATTTCAGCTCTGTAATTCTGGGTTTTTGTTTGTTTGATTTCAGAATCCAATGGTCCGAAGAAAAGCAGTGAAGCAGTGTTGAAGGATTGGTCCAAGAAAGCAAACGTTAAAGCTGAACGAGTTTATTACACAGCTGAGTTCACAGTGGACTCAGAGTTCGGGATTCCAGGTGCCATAACGGTGAAAAACAAGCACCATCAGGAATTTTTCCTGGAAAGCATCACCATTGAAGGATTTGCATGCGGCCCTCTTCATTTCCCTTGCAATTCCTGGGTTCAATCCAGCAAAAATCACTCTGCAAAGCGGATTTTCTTCTCTAATCAGGTTTACCATTAACGCCTCTCTCCGTGTAGCATTGAATTTTCAAGTCTCTGGTCTTCTTGGTCCGTTGAACGACAAAGTATTCAAAGGTCAAAACTTTCAATTTTAAGCTTTTGAATCTTCATCGAAGGGACTGAGTTGAACCAGTCAGAGCTTCGTAGCTGACTCTGACATTTTCAACTGTTTTTTACAATTCAAAACAGTTTACATTTTTCAACTAGTGTTTTTTTAGCTAATTTGACCGAGATTTTGTTTGAGCAGCCTTATTTGCCGAACGAGGCACCTAATGGACTAAGAGCATTAAGAGAAAAAGAGCTAAGGGATCTAAGGGGAAATGGTCGAGGCGTAAGAAAACTCTCGGACAGGGTTTACGACTTCGATGTGTACAATGATTTGGGAAATCCAGACAGGGGCATTGATTTTGCCCGGCCAATGCTCGGTGGCAACAAAATTCCATACCCGAGACGGTGTCGCACCGGTCGTCTTCCTTCCGAAACAGGTAAACATACGTGCACACATATAAACATGTACATGGATACCGTTTTTACATATTGTAATGGAATGCTGAACTCTGAGTGTTTGTAAACGGCAGACATGTCAGCAGAGAGCAGAGTCGAGAAGCCATTGCCGATGTACGTGCCGAGAGACGAACAATTCGAGGAGTCGAAGCGGAACACCTTCTCTGCCGGAAGGTTTAGAGCAGTGCTACACAACTTGTTGCCGCTGTTGAAAGCCAGCATTTCAGTTCATAACCGTGACATAAACTCGTTCGCCGACATCGATGACCTTTACAAAGAAGGGCTGCTCCTCAAATTAGGTTTACAGCAAGAAACCGTGAAGAAGTTGCCGAAAATGGTCACCAAATTACAGGAATCTAGCGAAGGACTGCTCAAATATGAAACCCCAAAAGTTGTTTCCAGTAAGTAAAATATCTGCACATTCTAAATGTGGGATAAAAAAAAGATTACTTAGCTAAAAGCTAACATGTGACATCTACACATGCAGAGGACAAGTTTGCCTGGTTGCGAGACGACGAGTTCGGCCGTCAAGCATTGGCGGGCGTCAACCCTGTAAACATCGAGCGACTTACATCTTTTCCACCGGTAAGCAGGCTCGACCCCGAGATCTATGGTCCCCAAGAATCTGCACTCAAAGAAGAGCACATTGTGGGACAGCTTAATGGCATGACAGTTCAACAGGTAAATGTTGTGCTAAAATTATCAAAATGTAGCTTATTTTTTTAATTTTTTTACCATATATAGATTGTTGATTTTTATTGTGTTTGGTAAATTTGAACTCAGGCTTTGGATGAAAACAAGTTGTTTATAGTGGATTATCATGACATTTATCTACCGTTTCTCGATCGGATCAATGCACTAGATGGCCGGAAATCATATGCTACTCGTACAATATTTTTCTTGACTCCGACCGGGACACTCAAGCCGGTTGCCATCGAACTAAGCCTTCCACACACCACACCGCAGTCCCGAGCCAAGCATGTCGTCACACCGCCTGTTGATGCAACCACAAATTGGATTTGGCAGCTTGCAAAAGCTCATGTTTGCTCCAACGATGCCGGGGTCCATCAATTGGTTAACCATTGGTTACGTACACATGCATGCATGGAGCCCTTCATATTGGCTGCACATAGGCAAATGAGCGTAATGCACCCCATCTTTAAGCTTTTGGATCCACACATGAGATATACGCTAGAGATAAACGCTTTAGCTCGACAAAACTTGATCAATGCCGGTGGTGTTATCGAGGATTGCTTCACTCCCGGTCGCTACTGCATGGAGATTAGCGCTGCGGCTTATCGGAGCCATTGGCGCTTTGACCAGGAGAACCTACCTGCCGACCTCATCCGAAGGTAAATACCGAACTCTGAGATGAAAACAAAATAAATAATTGAGCTTCAACAGGATATCTATTAGAACGTATGCACAAACTTTACTTTCTTCACATGGAAGTTATGTTGTTGCTACATTCGGCAATGAACTGAACCTAAAGAATTGACCTTCCATGGTACAGAGGAATTGCGGTTCCTGACCCAACACAACCCCATGGTCTAAAGCTCCTGATTGAAGACTACCCTTATGCCACGGACGGACTACTAATATGGAACGCACTCGAGAATTGGGTCCGAACCTACGTGAACCATTACTATCCGAACTCGAGCCTGATATGCAGTGACAGAGAGCTACAAAACTGGTACTATGAGTCCGTCCACATAGGCCATGCCGATCTCAGCAAGGAGTCGTGGTGGCCCTCATTGAAAACGCCAGAGGATCTAGTGTCCATCCTCACCACCCTCATTTGGCTTGCATCAGCCCAACATGCTGCACTTAATTTTGGACAGTACCCTTACGGTGGCTACGTGCCTAACCGTCCACCCCTAATGCGGAGACTAATACCCGACGAGAACGACCCCGAGTACGTTAATTTCCTCGCCGATCCACAAAAATATTTCCTATTAGCATTGCCAAGTTTATTACAAGCTACAAAGTTCATGGCGGTCGTTGACAACTTGTCAACACACTCCCCCGACGAGGAGTACTTGGGGGAAAGACAACACCCCTCAATTTGGTCAGGTGATGCAGAGATCATCGAGGCCTTCTACGGGTTCTCGGCCGAGATAAGACGGATAGAGAAGGAGATCGAGAGAAGGAACGCGGATCCTAGCCTCAAGAACCGGTGTGGAGCCGGGGTGTTACCGTATGAGCTTCTTGCACCGAGCTCGGACCCAGGGGTAACATGCAGGGGAGTTCCTAACAGTGTTTCAATATGATCCAAAATTGGATATCAGGGTGCCCTTATTTATTTATTCTTAATTAAAATTTAGGTATATAAATATTTTTAGGGTAAGGGGTATATATGGAATAGAACTTGTAAGCATACTTTTTGTGTCATATGACATTGTTATCATGCAAATAATGTATCAAACTCGGTTCCAGTGACCACTGACCAGAGAAACCTCGTCTGCCCATTTGAAAAAAAATAATGATAATCCGGACACAGTTCCGATGAAGTTGGTCAGGTTGATTTTTTATTTTGAAAATTTAAATTCGGATTGTATTTTCAGGATATGACTAGATTGAGTTCAAATTTAGTATAAAAAAATCTAACTCGGTTAATTTAGATTTATCTTTGAACAAATACTTATTCTAAGTTAATAAAAAATAAAAAATTATCCGACTTATTATCATCCCTAATCATATCTATAGATATTGATTTAAACGAAGAATGTTAATTAAAAATTTAATTATTAAAAATATTAACCTTTTATTAATTAATAAGTCAAATATAAGACTTTAAGTCAAAGTCATATATGATTTTTTTTAAAAAAATCTTAAAATATTGGGTCTGCCTAATTGAATGCATAATTTAGATTTTAAGACTTCAAGTCAAGTCATATGTAATTAACAGAAATCATCTACATATATTAACTATGGTCAATTGAATATATAAATTAAAACTTTCAGACATATTTAGTCGGCATATACACATAAAAAGTAGGGTTGTAAATGAATCGAACCGAGTTTAAGTATTGTTAAATTTGATTTAATTTGAAAAGTATATAACTGAATTTAACTCGATTTGAAAATTCACGAGTTTAAAATTGTCAAGCTCGACCCGAAAACTCGCGAGCTTAAAATTTCAAAACTCGACTCGAACTCGAAATAAAAAATTAAAGCTCTACTCGAACTAAAAAAAACTTGAACTCGAAATATTATCAGATTTAATTTGATTGAAGTTCAAACTTGAACTCGAATATTAACTTTAAGTACTTGAAATCCTTGTATTTTTTAAAAAATAATAACATATAATGTTAACATTATTAATAATTCAATTAAAAAATCTAAAAAATTAATTTATTATTTTTTAAGTTGCTTGTGAGCTTTTTGAATCGGGTATCAAATAGCTCATTTTGACTCGTTAAGAATTTGAGTCGAGTTCGAACTCAAATCAAGTCTATTCGATTTGAAAATTAATCGAACTTTAATGAAATCAATCTCGAATAACTTATAATCTGTCTTGTATCATTTACAGTTGTACAACTACCAACTAAAGACACCATTCACTAACCCACTGGCAAATGTTTAGAGTGCGTTTGGTTCACGGAATGTAAGATTACCAGTGGGAATAAAAGATTCTCAGTCAATAGGATTACTGTGAATGTTGTATTTTGTGTTTGGCTGGTTTAGCAGGAATGTAAGATTACCGTGTTTAGTTAAAGGAATAAAAGATGATTGGAATGTATATTTGACCAAATTGTCCTTATTATATATTTTTTTTAACAAGTTTGAAAAATTTATATATTTTCTTTAAAAAAAAAAATTCATAAAATTTATATAATTTTTTTACAAAATGAAATATAAAGGTTAATGAAAGGGTAAAATTTATTTAACCCCGAACTTCATATAAAATTTAATTATGTTGCTTGTGAGCTTTTTGAATCGGTATCAAATAGCTCATTTTGACTCGTTAAGAATTTGAGTCGAGTTCGAACTCAATCAAGTCTATTCGATTTGAAATAATTGAACTTTAATGAAATCAATCTCGAATAACTTATAATATGTCTTGTATCATTTATAGTTGTACAACTACCAACTAAAGACACCATTCACTAACCCACTGGCAAATGTTTAGAGTGCGTTTGGTTCACGGAATGTAAGATTACCAGTGGGAATAAAAGATTCTCAGTCAATAGGATTACTGTGAATGTTGTATTTTGTGTTTGGCTGGTTTAGCAGGAATGTAAGATTACCGTGTTTAGTTAAAGGAATAAAAGATTATTGGAATGATATTGACCAAATTGTCTTATTATATATTGTTTTTTTAACAAGTTTGAAAATATTATATATTTTCTTTAAAAAAAATAAATTCATAAAATTTATATAATTTTTTTTACAAAATTGAAAATATAAAAAGTTTTAATGAAAGGGTAAAAATTTATTTTAACCCCTGAACTTCATATAAAATTTTAATTATAAACTTTTTTTGTAAATCTAAAATAGTTTAAGGATAAATAACCTTCGTAGAATTTTTATTATTCAATGACAAAATAAGGATATTTTTGAAAGAAAAAAAAATAAGGGCATTTTAGTAAAAAATGTCGGTAATCCAACAATATCTAAGGAAATGGAGGTAATGACATTCCCGGTAATATACCCAAAAAATCCACTATTGGTAATGTAAGATTATCGGGAATGATATTTCCGGCCAACCAAACGAGAGAAAGTGGATTCCACTCCTATAAGAATTTCACATTCCCCCAACCAAACACACCCTTAATGTAAAGGGAGTTTAAGACTTAAAAATAAGGGTGATAATTTACTTGTTTTTATATTATTATTTTAATCATTTATTTTTTTAAAATCATAAGTAAATAGTATTTTTTCTAACAAAATTTGTCTTTGTTTTCCTCCTTGAAGTTGTGGTTGGGATTGGAACTTCGAATCTTTCTCATCTTTTCATGCCCTTTTATGATCCTATCTGGTTGGTTTTATGCATCAATGATGATATTTTTACTGACCTGCCCAAGACCGCGGCCGGTAAGCACACTACTTACAATTACTCCGATATCACATGGTCGTCGTCCTACGGTCCATACTGGCGTCAAGCACGAAAGATGTGCCTAATGGAGCTTTTTAAGTGCGAAACGCATAGAGTTATTCGAGTATATCCGAAAAGAAGAGAGGGGATTGTTCCTACAAAGGTTGTACCAATCTTGTGGTACCCCAATTGTTTTGAAAGACCATCTTTTGAATTTGAACCTTAACGTGATCGGTAGGATGGTGTTCAGGAAGAAATACACGGAATCGACAGGCGAAACCGAGATAGTGACCCCAAAGGAGTTCATGGAGATGCTCAACGAGCTGTTCTTGCTTAATGGTGTGTTGGATATCGGTGACTCGATCCCTTGGCTCAGTTTCCTGGATTTGCAGGGAAATATTAGGAGAATGAAGGTGTTGGCAAAGCGGTTCGACAGGTTCTTGGAACATGTCTTGGATGAACACAACGAAAGGAGAAAAGGAGTTGAAGATTATGTGGCTAAAGACATGTTGGATGTGCTTTTGCGGCTGTCTGAGGATCCCACCCTCGAGGTCAAGCTTGAAAGGCATGGTGTTAAGGCCTTTACTAAGGTAAATGCTTACTTCTTTCTCTGTCACCTTCTTGCCTGGGTTCAAAGGACTGCTTCTTTCATCTTTGTTTTACTTAAAATTAGGATAAACTTAATATTGAATCAATTAAATTAAGATAAACTATAACGAATATCACTGAATTTTAGGTGATATATCATTCATATCATTAAATGTTTAATGAATATTATCTTATTTTTGATTTAAGGTGGATTGTTATTTTAATATTCACAAGGGTGTGGATTTAAATACATTTAAATGAATATTATCTTATTTTTTATTATCGAGTTGTTAACTCTAGTTAGTTTGATGCTCTGTTTTGAAAATCGGATCGGATCGGCCGGTTCAACCGGGAACCGTTGCTTAGTCCTGTTCAATCTAAACCGGTTGAACCGCTATTAGTGAACCGACCAGAACCGCTGAACCGTTCGGACCGGACCGACTGAAAACCGGGAAAAATCGGGATTTTTGTTTTTTGTTTAAAAAAAAATTAAACCAAACAACGTCGTTTGTTAAACGAGCCAAGTCGAACTCGAGTATTGCTGAGCTCTACTCGAACTTGAAAACTTTAAAAGTAAGATCAACTCAACTTAAACTCACAAGCTAAAAATTATCAAGTTCAACTCAAACTCGAAATATAATATTGAAACTTGAACTCAAAAAGGCTTGAACTAAAAAAAAAATTAGAAGCTCAATTGAAGCCTAAAATTCGAGTTTGATTGAAGTGAAAGAATAGTTCACTCAATGTTCACCAAAAGGCTCCATGATTTTGAATGCCAAATTACCTCTATTATTTATAGAAGTTAGTTGTGATGCGATTCTATGTTTCTTAGCAATGTGAGATTGTTTTGTTCTCATATTTGTACTCTTTAGACTTTTTGGATGCTCTTCTATGTTTCTTAGCCATGTGAGATTGTTTTTAAAAAAAAAATTAAACCAAACAATATCATTTTGTTATACTTTTTTTAACTCCAAATTTATTTTTTAATTATAGTTATATAATTATATTTATTATTTAATATGTTTTACCTTAAATATTATGTTGTAGTTAATTTGAATCATTTTGTTTCACTTGATTTTATGGTTTTTAACTTATATATGTTATGACTTGCTTTGAATATGACTTGTGATATAAAAAATTATTTTTTATTAAATATTTTTGGTATTTTTATTTAATTTTTAAATAATTATGACGTCGTTCGGTTCTTCCGACCGATCGAACCAGTTCGACCGGTTGAACCAGTAAACTGGTAGCATGATCGGTTCGCTAACCGATCCGATTCTGAAAACCATGGTCTGATGATGTGACATGTTATAAAATGTTTAAATTTTAATTTGACTCTTAAATTTTAAACAAAATATTAATTTGATCATAAACTCTAGATAAAATATTAATCTAACCCTTAAATTTTAAATAAAATATCAATTTAACACTTGAATCTAATCAAAATTTTTGTCGTCGATCATTGCTCATCATTGTCGGTTACTATCAATTACTATCATCAATCACCGCCGAACACCATCAATCGTCACTCATCACTGTTGATAATCATTGTCGACCGTCATCATCAATCGTCATCTTCGTTATCAATTGTTGTCATGAATGACCGTTAGACTCTAAAATTTTTAAATCACACTTTTTTGACACACTAAACACAAATTTGATACCGATTTCACTGAAAAATATCTCAAACTTCACAAACCCGGTTTAGATTCCTTCAAATTTCTTCAAAAATAAATCAAAACAATAAATCTATCGTTAAATTTCTTTAAAAATAATGACACAAACAATATAAATCTGTATTATAATATGTTTATATTATAAGGATAGTAATGTGATTTACATAAATTTTGATAATTTATACATTATAATTTTTATATTTTAATTTTGATATCTTTAAATTAAATTAATTATTTACATAATCTTCATTTTCAACTTTTTTAAATCAAACATAATTTTATAATATCTCAAATGTATTAAATATTAACTCTCTCTTTATTATCCCACAGCAGGTAAACGATAAACAATCTAAAATTAAACAAATACTCCAAATATTATCCCATAATTTTTGTTTTGTAACTACAACTGGATTATTCTAAATGTTTAATTAAACAAATACTAATTAAATCCAACAATTATTCGGTTGGTAGAAAGTAACAAACAATGAGACAAGTTTATTGTTTATTCTATAATATTATGATATTAAATATATTTTAATTATATTATAAATTCAAAAAATAATAGCAGCAGCCCCTTCTTCTAGATGTGTTATTAAAAATAATAACACGCCAATTCAACAGCTCATTCACTTCGTGCTTCAACAATTATCGCTACTTTGGACCTTCGTGTCAATTCTTCTTCATTGATCAGCGGTCGTTATTATGAAATATAGGTCACGATTGAATTATATAAACATTTTAAAATTAAAAGAATATATTATACGATTTTCATATATTATTTTGCGTACAATTGTTTAGTTTGGAGAATCAAAGGATCAACGGAGCAGTTAATGAACCTAACAATGTAAAAATGTCATTTATATCACTGGCAGGCCGTGGCTAGGTTGTTGGGGCTCTGTATAAATTCTTAAAAGGTGTCCTTATTTTTTAGATATATTCGATTTCGGGACAATAATAGTGACGTTTTTTTGACAAATGCCGTAATAGGTCCATCTATAATAGTGTTTTTTCAATAAAAGCCATAATAATAGTGACATTTTTTTGAAAAACGCCACTATAGATATACCTTTTTGGGCTTCTTTTAGGGCCTGCACGGTCACCCATCTCGCACCGCCCCAGCCACGGCACTGATCACTGTGATGCCCTTCGTTTTTGTCTATAAATACAATTTCCTCCCCTACACACTACACAATCAAAGCTATATTACACCATCACTAGAAGCAAAACAAATGGAAACTCGAGCTTTGGTTTCTTACTTCATAGCATGGTTCGCCACTCTAGCCCTCGTCTTCCTCTCCCTCCGTCTTCGTCGTGGTCGGAAACTCAACTTACCACCCGGTCCGAAACCTTGGCCGATAATTGGCAACCTCAACCTCATTGGCTCACTTCCCCACCGGTCCATCCACGCCCTCTCGTTAAAATACGGGCCCATCATGCAACTTAAATTCGGGTCATTTCCTGTTGTGATCGCTTCTTCTGTTGAAATGGCCACGGCCGTGCTAAAGACCAACGATGTTATCTTCACCGACCGGCCTAAAATCGCCGCCGGCAAATACACTACCTACGATTACTCCAATATTACATGGGCTCCTTATGGTCCATATTGGCGTCAAGCACGGAAAATATGCATGACGGAGCTTTTTAGTGCGAAACGTCTTGAGTCGTACGACTATATCCGAAGAGAAGAGATGAATTTGTTTCTTAAATGGTTGTATGAATCATGTGGTACCCCAATTGTATTGAAAGACCACTTTTCGAGTTTGAGTCTTAACGTTATCAGTAGGATGGTTTTCGGGAAAAAGTACACCGAAGGGACCGGCGACACCGAGATCGTGTCCCCAAAGGAGTATAATGAGATGCTGGAGGAGTTGTTCTTCCTTAACGGCGTGCTCGATATCGGTGACTTGATCCCTTGGCTCAGTTTCCTGGATTTGCAGGGCAACATTAAGAGAATGAAGGCGTTGAGCAAGAAGTTCGACAAGTTCTTGGAACATGTGTTGGATGAACACAACGCAAGGAGAAAATGGGTGGAAGATTATGTGGCTAAAGACATGGTGGACGTGCTTTTGCAGCTGTCTGAGGATCCCGATCTTGATGTCAAGCTTGAAAGGCACAGTGTTAAGGCAATAACTATGGTACATTTTACTACATTCACTCTAATCTACTCATAACGTAAATAAGAATTTGAATAAATTTAAACTTAAAATATAAAAGATAAATAAAATTAAACAAAAGACTGTACTTAGTTAAAATAAATAATAAATATTACTAACTCATATAATAAAACATGATAAAAAGAAAATAGCAGCCCTACTAAACGTAGCATTGGTACATTATTGATACAATAAGTTTTCATGTATAATTAATCAACTGATTAATATTCTTCGTATTGATGGCATATTTAGTAAATTGTATCTCTCTCTCTCTCTCTCTCTCTCTCTCTCTAAACCAATCATGTTTGAATACGATCAAGTCAAAACTTAAAGAAGCTGAGATCGAAAAGGAAATTGAAGTCGTGTCTTTTGTGTAGTTTGCGAGCTCCTTGCATCGACTCATTTTCCTTTGCTCTGCTGGTATGGGACATCGACATAATACCTAGAGAACTTTAGTGCTTAGACAATACCAATTAATCAGCTGTTAAATTTTCAACTTTCCCATCGAATGATTTCCCCTTTTGTCTGTCTTTAAGGAACTGACAGCCGGTGGAACCGAGAGCTCAACAGTGACCTTAGAATGGGCAATCTCAGAGCTACTGAAAAACCCAGAAATTCTGGCCAAAGCCACACAAGAACTCGACAGTGTAATCGGCAGGGAGCGATGGGTCGAAGAGAAAGACATTGTGAACCTACCTTACATCGACTCCGTCGTTAAGGAAACAATGCGGTTGCACCCTGTAGCACCGATGCTCACGCCTCGCGTGGCTCGCCAAGACTGCAAATTACTCGGTTACGACGTTCCAAAGGGCACTCGAGCTCTTGTAAGCGTTTGGGCAATCGGGAGGGACCCTAGCCATTGGGACAACCCCAATGCGTTCTGGCCAGACAGATTCATGGAAATGAGTGTTGACATCAAAGGTCGTGACTTTAAGTTGTTGCCATTCGGGGCAGGAAGGCGGATGTGCCCCGGTTATCCTTTGGGGATTAAGGTGATTCAAGTAAGTTTGGCTAATGTTTTACATGGGTTTACTTGGAAATTACCTACAAACGATGATCTTAATATGGAGGAAACATTCGGGCTTTCCACCCCTAAAAAATACCCACTTCAAGCTTTGGCGGAGCCTAGACTCCCAGTTTACATGTACTGCCGATGATTATAATCTTTGAGAGTACTGTGAAATTGGAGAAATAGAAGGTAATAATGGTGTTTGGCTTGTAAAACATTAGTCTCTCTACAAATATTGAAATATCAATTTAGTATTTCGTATCCCTATTTTAATTTGTTATAAGGCGTTTCAAAAATAAATAAAATTTCTAGATAGTCACTCCACTAGTATTAGTTTTTTAATTAAGTTAAATCGCTTAAAATTTTTAAATAAGGGCACATCATGCAACTCAAATTCAGGTCATTTCCGGTTGTGATCGTTTTATCCGTTGAAATGGTCAAAGCCATATTGAAAACCAACGATGTCATCTTCACCGGTCGGCCTAAAAACGCCGCCGGCAAATACACTACTTACAATTACTCGGATAATATATGGTCTCCTTATGGTCCATACTGGCGTCAAGCACGAAAAATGTGCCTAACCGAGCTGTTTAGTGCAAAACGTCTAGAGTCATACGACCATATCCGAAGAGAGGAGATGGAATTGTTCCTAAAAAAGTTGTATTAATCATGTGGAACCCCAATTGTTTTGAAAGATCATCTTTCGACCTTGAGTCTTAACGTGATCAGTAGGATGGTGTTCGGGATGAAATACACGGAAACAACCGGCGAAACCGAGGTCGTGACCCCAAAGGAGTTCTTGGAGATGCTCGACGAGCTTTTCTTGCTTAATGGGGTGTTGGATATCGGTGACTCGATCCCTTGGCTCAGTTTCCTGGATTTGCAGGGGAATATTAAGAGAATGAAGGTGCTGAGCAAGAAGTTCGACAGGTTCTTGGAACATGTCTTGGATGAACATAACGAAAGGAGAAAAGGGGTGGAAGATTATGTTGCTAAGGACATGTTGGACGTGCTTTTGCAACTTTCCGAGGATCCAACACTTGAAGTCAAGATTGAAAGGCATGGAGTTAAGGCATTTACTCAGGAAATGATTATGTCATGTTAGTGGATCGTTTTGTTTTTACTGTCCTGTCTGGTTTCTATTGACGGGTGGTTTCCTCAACCTTGGTTAGCATAAGTTTCCATGTAACACCATGGACTCAAAGTAAAATTTGAAACCAGATAGTCTAATTAAATGTGTTAAGTGACCTATAGAGTGAGAGTGATTTATATTTAAAAACTAATGATGATAATGATTTATTCGTTGAATTGTCAATTAGCTGTAAAGGTTTCAACTTTTTGATTGAATCACTGCCCTTCTTGTTTCTGCATGTTTCAGGACATGATAGCCGGTGGAACCGAGAGTTCATTAGTGACTGTAGAATGGGCAGTTTCGGAGTTGTTGAAAAAACCTGAAGCTTTAGCCATGGCAACGGAAGAACTCGACAGTGTCATCGACAGGGAACGATGGGTCGAAGAGAAAGACATCGTGAACCGACCGTACACCAAGACTGCCAAATAAATGGCTATGACATTCCCAAGGGCACTCGAGCTTTTGTAAGCGTTTGGACGATCGGGAGGGCCCCTAGTGTTTAGGACAACCCTAATGAGTTTTGTCCCGAGAGATTCCTGGGAAAGAGCATTGATGTTAAAGGTCGTGATTTTGAACTTTTTCCGTTCGGGGCGGGAAGAAGGATGTGCCCTGGATATGGTTTAGGGGATCAAGGTGATTCAAGCAAGTTTGGCAAATGTTTTACACGGTTTACTTGGAAATTACCTGGTAATGCCACAAAAGACGATCTGAATATGGAAGAAACCTTCGGGCTTTCCACCCCTAAAAAGTTTCCACTCGAGAGTGTTGCAGAGCCAAGGCTCGCACTTCATATGTACTTTATCATTCTGGAATTTTGATTCAACCAAATAATGGTGTAATTGCTGTGGTGTTCCACTTTTGGTTTATGGTAAGAGCCTAGGGTTTCACTTAAACAAATTAGCAATCATGGCATTATACCTCTACAACTATATTCTAATATTCCCTTGTCAGACTCACAGTAAGCATCTTCACGTTGAATGTACCTTTTAGTGTTTCAAGTTGGTGTTGGAAAGATTTTTTAAGTTCAAAAAGAGTATCCAGTTTTGTAAAAGAAATTAATTTGGAGTCGACATTTGTCATCACTTGATTGAAAGAGTTAATTTTTCTATTTAAAATTAAAATTATGATCAAATTAATAGAATATATAATAATGAGGACTAAAAGTATAACTAGATATATTTTATCAATTGTCACGTATGTCGTAAGCTCTTCCATCAAATGTTAGTGATAAGTGACTTGATTGACGTCATTTAAATAATTAAGTAGTATTGATAAAATTAAAAAATCGATGATTAAAATAGAACTCTCTCGTAGTTAAGTTGTCATGGGTGTACTTTATCATATTTCCTAACGCTAGTGACTTTTTTTTATAACTTTTTAAAAATTTAGTAGTAAAAAGAGAAACTTAACTACAATTCCGTGACTAATGACGTAATTTATTCTTTAGTCAATTGTGCCGAAAAAATGACAGAATATGACAATATCCCGTTGAACCCTCTCACCTAACCTCAATGGAGGTGAAACGGGAATCGAAATGGAACCGTTGTCAAGCGTCGTTCAAAAGCTAATCGGTCGCCGTTTCTCAACCTATCCGTCGTCTACTACACGTATACTCTCGAGATACTTCTCCAGCGACTCGGGATACAATAACTCTGTGCTTCACGAGAGCGTGGAGTTGACTCGAACTCCAGTTCTGGTGGAGGGATGTGACTATGAACACTGGTTCGTGGTTATGGAGGCTCCCAAGGGATACCCACTTCGAGATGAGATCGTCAACACCTACATTAAAACCCTAGCCATGGCTTTGGGAAGGTCAAAATTCAAAATCCCTCCTCTCTTTTTTTTTTGGCACATTCCAATTTTTTTTTATAATTATTTAGGTATTAATACGCAGTGAAGAGGAAGCCAAGAAGTCTATATACTCTGTTTCCACCAAGTATTACTATGCATTTGGTTGCAAAGTCCCAGAAGATTTGGCTTTTAAGATTAAATGTAAGCTCTTTTTTTTCTGTTTCGCTTTCCAAATTCATCCTTTGTTCAAGATTTTAAATTGATGATGAACTGTATCGGTTGCTTGCAGCGCTGCCTAATGTGAAATGGGTTTTACCAGATTCTTATTTAGGCGATCATGGTGATAATAGCTATGGAGGTATAGTTTTACCAGATTCTTGGTCCTGCTTATGCTTCATTGTTGTATGAAAGATTATGATTGAGGATGATAGAAAATACATTTCAAAGATAAGTGGAAAGGCATTAGAGAGGATGCAATTAAGCATTAAGGACTATGCACCTATAGTTGATTACTTGTGTACTTTCTCGGTTCTGTTGTTCATATCATTAGAACTTGTTGGTGTTGGTGTTACTATTAAAGTGGGCGGAATACTTGAGACATCGAGGCATGGTAGTTCATCTGCACTTAAGTGTTCGTTTCACAGATTGGAAGTCAATCGATGATATGCTTATGTTATGTATTTATATATCAAAACGAAGCTACTATTCATTCTTATCCTCACTCTTCATCGGTGTTAAGGTCTATTGTCAGCAATCTTGACAGAGCTGAATGGCTTTCAATTCTTTTGTCTTATGAATTTTGATCGATATGTTACTTTTGGAGAATCGAATGAAAAGAAACAAAGTGCACCCGAGTCAGATGTTGCTTTGAACCATCTTGTCAATGGAGCCTCTGATATTTGTTTCACTGTTCCACTGTATATACCAGTGCTTTGCACTTCTGAGCCTTGTTAGGTTAAGATGTTGAAGCTAATCCTTTCTAAAGTTGGATGGTTTTTTAACCAATTAGTATGAGCTTTCTAATATGCCTGCATGTATTCCGACGCTCCGTATTAATATCACCCACATTTAATACCTCCTACCTTTATATCAATCGAGTATCGAGCAATGATGTAAACATTTCTACAAGTAGATGATTTTTCTAAACTGATTATGAAATTTCCATTCTTTTCTACAGGAGAACCATTCATTGATGGAAAGGTTGTTTCTTATGACGATAAGTATCACTCTGGCTGGATTCCGACTCGAAACGAAGATGAAAGGAAAGGAACTACTCATCCAGAAAGAGCAAGTGGAAAACAAAGGAAACAGTAGCATAATTGTAGGCATGCCACTGATACTACTGCACTTCAGCTTTGTCATGTATGAATTTTTGAAACTTACCGAGTCAGTGCCTCAATGGAACCTCGGATATTCCGTATTTGTTTCACTCTTCCGCTGTATCAATTAGTACTTTTCGGTGGAAACCGTAGTCAAAGTTAATCTTTGCATTGCTGGTCGAAGCTTGATAGTATCGGCTTATGATGCGAGTTTGATAAACTACAACCGAAAAGACCAGTTGTCCAACGAGCAGCCATTGGCCTACTTCTGATCTGCTCAGAGGGATTTAAGAGATAACCATCCAATTGATACGTATGTATACGTATATGTATTATGAAATGGTACATGTTGAAGATACGATATTTAGAATGTCAGGCATAGCTTGGAATTACGTCTGCTTTGTGTATATATACAGCATACATGCTTATAGCTCCTTGAGGGGCATTTTTTTAACATTGCCGTTTAGTTTTAAATATTTGGTTTTCACTTTGATTTCACACTAAAACTTGGTGGATAACAATTTGAAAGAAAAAAACGAGTCATGTCCCCATTTTTTGTTTAATTAATTTTTAAATCCTTATAAATTTTAAAGTTACACAATGTAATCCCAATGTTCCTTGCCACGAGTCATGTCCCCATTTTTTGTTTAATTAATTTTTAAATCCTTATAAATTTTAAAGTTACACAATGTAATCCCAATGTTCCTTGCCCCATTTTTCTACTTCATCCCCAAGAAAAATCCTTGCAAAAGCATCTTGTTTTAACTAGAATTATCAGAAACAAAAGAGATTTTAAAACTTTTCCATAATCACCAAACTTTTTAAAGCCAGATACTTCTATCTTTAGAGGGGGGGGGGGGGGTTGGTGGGAAATGGACCAAATGGTGCAATTGCAAAGGCAAGTGCGGTAGTCTAGCACGCAAGAATCTCTAGCAGCTTTTGGAAAATTCTGCATTTCTTAATGGCTGACAAGACTTTGAACATCGATGTCACACGACAAGTTTCCTCGGTTCTTATCTAAATTATGTTGACCGATTAGTGTTTCATAAGAAGAAACTAATGAAGAATTAGTGGGTAAATTTGCAACTAATTTAACAAATTCCCACCACAATGAGTTTCAGTCAATTTCTTACATGTAGTAGTTTCCGGGAAAGTTAGAAAATTTATGTCATGTTGAAATATTACAACAGCTCATGTTGAAAAAGAAGCATGTTAGAATATTGTAATGTGTTTTTTAGCACTTGTATCGATATAAATAGACGATTCATCCTTTTTAGTTTGGAAGGAAAATTTTAGTTGGTGATTTTATAACATAAAGCTGATCTTGGGTTGATAAGTCATGTTCTTTGTCCCTAGACACGGAGTAGGGAAGAAGAAGAAGACATATCTCTCCCTTAATCTTCGTTAATAATTTTTATAGTGATTTTTAATGTTTGTGTTAGGTCTAAGATTATGATTTGTGATGACAATTCGTATGTTGACACATTGAATAGATATGACCGTTGATAATAGATTTGATTCTGATCGATAACGTAAATCAATCAATAATCATATCAAGATAAAATAGCTAATCGAAGGGTCTCAAAAAAATTCAATCAAAAAATTATGAGAGATTCGGAGATCTCTTTTTGTTTCGAAAATTTAGATTGTCGAAGGAATTGCCTATGAAAAATATCTAGAGGAGGCTTAACATCCACAAATTCGATGGGCTACAACATCATACTTTTTCACGTGTAGAAAATTGAAAAATAAATAATTGGTATGTAAACACTGAGAAAAAAATGGATCAAAGACTAGTTTTGTATTGGCTTTGTATTTCTTTTTTCTATGGAAACTTCTATTTTACTTTCTAAAGAGATAGGCAATGACACGAATAGACAAGAAATATAAAAATTTAAATTAAAAAAAATAGACAATAAACTTCAAATGTACAAAGTATGAGCGTCTGATAAGTATGTTTGAAATGATTGTCTCTAGTGCTTGGGAGTGTACAAACTAGAACCTAAAGCCTTGTACAAATCAGTGTCCGAATAGACAACCCGAGACCTCGATGGCTTAACCCGAACATGATTTCGTCGAGCTTCTCGGCGTGCCAGTCGTCTTTTCTCCTTTTCTTCCTTCTCACTGTCCTTTTTCACCATTCGTAACTCATCACATCGCTTTTTCTCTCGTTCGATCTTCTGAACGACGGTCGCGCTATTACCGTCGGTCGTAACTACGTACACAAAGGGTCCGGTCATGATGTCGGTTAAGTCGATGAGAGGCTCTAAAGCCTTGACTACATTGCTCATTGTTGGTCTAGACTTGGGGTGGTTGCTTAGACACTGATAAGCCAATACAGCAGCCTTCTTAACCCCTTCGGTTGAGTACTGTCCTTCAAGTCTAGGGTCCATTATTGCATCAAGTTTGTAAGGGTCCTTCAAAATAGGCCTTGCCCATTCCACGAGGTTCTTTTCTCGACCAGGTCGAGTCTTATCGACCGATTTCCGACCCGTCAACAATTCTAACAGCACCACTCCGAAACTGAACACATCGCTCATAGTCGTCAAATGCCCTGCAAAAAGAAAGAATTCCGAATTCAAATAAATTCTTTCCAATATTTTCATCAAAACAAAGACAAGTCCTGGACTTTTTAGTACCGGTGGAGATGTATTCAGGAGCAGCATAACCTTCCGTGCCCATGACTGCAGTTGTAACATGAGATTTTTGGCCTTCTGGACCGTCGGTCGCCAATCCAAAATCCGAGACCTTCGCATTATAAGCCTGGAAACGAATTAAACCATTTAGTCTTTGCTGATATATTAGAACATGTCGAATTAAAAAATGGGGTGTTTTTAGTTTTTACAAAGTCTAATAAGATGTTTGATGTTTTGAAATCCCTGTAAATCACAGGCTTCTGTTCTTCATGTAGAAAAGCCAGCCCTTTTGCAGTTCCAAGAGCAATTTTCAATCTTGTAAGCCAAGGCAAGGGCGGACCATACCCTGGCAGTCATACAAACCTTTAAGAATCAAAATTTTCAATATCAAATCACAAATTTGAAAGGCAAAAGATCTTGAAAAAACCAACTTTTAAACAACTGGTTCTCCAAATTGCCTCTTTCCATGTATTCATAAACCAGAAGCCTATGTTCATCTTCATAGCAATACCCAATCAAGTTCACCAGGTGAGGGTGCTTCAATTGCCCCAAAAAGACAACTTCAGCCTGTAAAAAAACAAAGGGTCATTTCCATTTTCACCATCTTTGAACTCAAAGAAACAAACTTGAAAAACTTTGATTTATTTTACCAGCCATTCCCTGTGCCCTTGAGTGCCATCCAAATCAAGCACCTTGACCGCAACAGACTGAGCTTTTAACCCAGGCCTGAGGTTGTCATCAATGAACCCTTTGTAAACAGGTCCGAACCCACCTTCACCGAGAAAATTACACTTGGAGAAGTTGTGAGTTATCAGTTCAAGCTCCTTGAGGGTGAAGATGTAGACGCCGATGAGAGAGTTTGAGAGATCACTCAATGATAATGAAGACCCTGGGTGGCTAAACTCATTGAGTGATAATCTTTGGCTTAGACTCTGTTTTGAAGCATGAACTTTTGGACCCGAAGATTGGGGTTTGATGCAGCTTGGGATTATGTTTTTCAATGACAAATACCTTTTGAGAGCCATTGTTCATTGAAAGTTCTCTCTTTTAGGTGTGTGTGCATAGGCTTCCAGCAGAAGCTCAAAGATGGTTTAAATAAGAAGTAAAATAAAGGTCTAATTTTGAATTTCATTTCTTTACTTTCAAAAAATTCAGAAGTTAACACCTTTTTTTTGAGCTTTCAAAATTTTGTCCTTGTACCGTATGAAAATTGAGATATTAATCCATTTATTGGCAAAGCTAGGGACTGACAGGGCCCTTAGTCCTTTAAAATTAATATTTTAAGCTTAAAATGGTAAAATTGCATTCTAACCCCTATAAATGATGAGATTTCAATTTAATATTTTTAAAAATTATAAAACTATAAGGTGAAACAATGGTAAAAAATATATTTCAAGAAAAACTCGACTTTGCCCTTCTAAACACATAAACTCGAACTATTGATCTTTATTGATTTATTGTATATAAACTATTCAATTGCAGATTTTCAAGTCAATATTTTAACATTTTAAAAATTTTAGTTGACAAGACAAACTTCTTAACTTCCATAAGGAATGAGGACCCAATTTTGATAGATCAAAGTACAAAGATTAATCTGTTACTTTCTGTAAAGAGGAGGGATGAAACTCACTATTTAACCAATCACCTCATTTTTCTTCAAGAATTCTCATTTAACTTTGCCCAACAAGAAAAAAAAGATATTATTATCTCTCACGGAAAATGAAATTCTATTAAAATACTGAAATTGGAATTCAAAAGTCTATTTTATATATACAAAAAAGGAGGTGGTCATATTCTCTATTCTTCAAAGTCGTGCATAGATCTTAGCTTAATAGTGTTCCCATTGTTGGCTTCTTTGGTTCATACTTAGTGGAGTTTCAGAGATATTTTTTTAGAGTCGACGCATATATGTTACTAATTATAAAACTTTTGAATAAGATGGACACAAATAAAATTTTAGAACGGAAACTACCAATAAAATAAGTAATTGATTGGAAAAAAATTCAAATCTCAATTCCCGTCCTCGAATACACATGGATCCGCCATTGTTCATGCTAAATTCATGGTTTTGAAGGGGAAAAGTTTGAAACTTGATATGATCAATTATGGAGTGAAATGTCACATGGGAATTAGGTGATTAAGGTTTTCTAAATCTGGGAATTGTTTAAAGTATTGGCTTTCAAATGGATAATCGTTGATTGGTTTTCATACGAAGGAAGACGATGATGTGTTTAGGACCAAATTGATATGCTTTGCAAATAGAGGTGCACAAAAAATCCGAATATCCGATTTTGCGTAAAAAAATATCTGAAACCGGATTTGGGAAAAACCGGTTTTTTTTTTAACCGGATCAGATATTTTAAAACCGGATAGTATAACCGGTTTGGGAAAAAATTGGACGACCGGATATTTTACCGGATTAAAAACCGGATAAAAAACTGGTTTTTTATCTAGAAAAAAATCCGGTCTAGGGTTTAAAAATCCAGTCTGGGGTTTAAAAATTAGATGACCGGATTTTTTACCGGATTAAAACCCGGTTTTTTAAAAAAACTGGTTTTTTTCAAACCGAAACCGGTTACACCGGTTACATCATCCGGCCCTCCAAACCGGTTATGATCCGAACCGATTTTTTTATAAACTATTTTTTTGGCTTAGTGAAAAAACCGGATCGGTTTTTATCCGATCCGGATCGAATTTAAATCCGGCTATGTGCATCTCTATTTGCAAATATATAGTCAAATTTATTAAATTATTTAAAGTTAGGGCTACATTGATACAATATGAATTAACGATAGGCGATTTAAATAAAATTAATTGAAAGCATCAGTGACAAAATTGAATTGCTTCATAATTTGATTACTAATGTAGAAATACATTAATAGTTTGGTGACTAATGATGTGATTTACCCTTATTTTTATTTCCCAAAATTCAGTATTTCCATTTCAATTTAGGGGGGGGGGGAAACAACGAATTGAATTTATAATCACAAGCTTTGCCCCCAAAAATCAAAACAACGGATATAACAAAATTGTATTAAAAAAAATCAAAAGGAAACCCTCTCTCCCCAACACATTTGATATTTACATTAAGAAACCTCCAAATTCAACTCATTAGCATAAGACACTTTTCACAGTTGCCGGCAACCTTTGGTGGGAAAACATGTGTATGAAATAACCATTCCGGTTGCTGCTATCTGAAAACAAGGCTTCCGTTCTGTTGGTGTCGTAAATGTTCGATAAGTGACTGGTAAAATGATCTCAGTGCCTTCATGTCACTGTCCTGCGAATACAAACCGTCGAGAGAGTTCAGTGCGGTGTATTCGTGATATATGAGGTACAAACCCAGTTGTAACACGGACGGTTAAGAGAAACTGATCGGAATAGGAGTGGTACCAGATAAATTATGCATGAAAAATAAAATTTAGACTGTTTTTAAAAGAATAGTACCTTCAACTTTTGGCAATACTGCTCCGCCAGATTTTGCGGGCAGTGCGCAGATGGAAGTCCTTTTGATACAAAATGAACAAGAAAATCATCCCCAAACTTCTCATACATAACCTTCTGAGCCAACACAATTTCTCCAAATAAAACGAGCTGTAAACATAGCCGAAATAACGAGTCAGCTTTAAGAAATACGCATAAATCGCCTGCATATCTGTATACGTACACAACATTGTCTATTCCAGCATGCAAAACAAGCACTTCCCTTCGCAAGCAATGTAGAGAGAGAAGGTAACCGATTTTCAGCTTTCAGAACATGAAATAAATGTTCCTCTATTGTTAGTTCACTTGCACACCAACCAAACTCTAATGCAGTTTTTGCAGTTTCAAATCATCCATGCACCAAACTATCTGAGAAAAGCATGACGATGCAAAGGTGTAACGCGCCAGCATAAGAAGATTCCCTCAAGCCATGTTGACCTACCATGCTATAATCATTTCCGAAACACTCATTTGCAAAATATGCAATAAACAGAACTACATGTCATTTTCTTCGGGTTTAAGCATTGTCAACAATATAATGCCTATTGAAACTACTAAAACAAACACAAACTAAATTTAACAAAGGTTATTCCTGTACGTATGTGAAAATGACATCATGCATAGCACCAACTAATGCAAATCACAAACAAAACAAATCAATAATTAAAAAAAACATTTTCCTTACAGTATTTGCGTCACCAAACTCGAAGGATTTGTCAAGCACACTGTAAAAACAACAGTTTGTGGCAAAGGTATCTATGATAAAACTTTTGAAACCAGGTACCTAGAAAATATTTAATCGGTTAGAGCCATGAGGGTCATGAAATCCACACAACAAAGGTTAAGTATGACATTAGAAGGGGGGAAAACCTTTTCTTCACCAGACGGACTGGCACACCAGTCTTTAATTAATTTGACAAATATCTGTACACAGGCCTATTTCACAGACAGCAATTACAGACAGTTAGATCCAGTTCCTGATTACAGTAGAACTTCAAAATGTCCAAAAGTTTCAGTAATGAATAGAAAAACAAAGTTATTAACTCATACCTTTCTTGTAGTTATATCCTTATGGTGGCAAGATGTATGTAATAGCAACTGCATAATTGAATTCAAGTAGTCCCGGCTTCTGGGGGAAAGGAAAATGGAAGAGAGATCATGTGTGGCTATCACGTGAAGAAACGTATATAATGTCTTTTGAAGTTCTTGCAGTTCCCGAATTTCCTAAAAAAAAGAAAAAAAATGTTAAACGAACACAGAAATGATGTTGCAGTGTTTCACAGTTGAACTGGAAGTTAAAAAGTTACTAACTGCATAAGAACTCAATAACTAGGTTTTGGACAACCAACATTTTAGACAGGAATACAATGAACGCAACAAATGATAATAGCGATAAAATTCTAGGAAAGAATATGTTTAATTTCACACAAAGACAAGTCAGATTTCAGCAAAGGACCCAAAGAATTAAATGGAAGTTCAGAAATGTGAACTGCCAATAGTTATCTACCTCTGTATTGGTTTCAGGTCCTGAAGAATCAGCAACCCTCTGGATGACACTAAACACCCTACCAGCAATAGTAGGAAATACTTCTTCCAATATGTCACGGACCAAGGTGCTGAATTTGCACATAAGTTGATTGAGCAGTAAGAGGAAACCAACCATTTCTTTTGGCTGCAAAAGGACATAATCCAGAAACAAATATAAAAACGTGCAACTGAAATATTCCATAGTTCCAAAGAACAATCTTTTCATGCATCATCAAGGTGGAAGTTATCCTCTAGGTGATCTTTTTAAGAAGGTTTAAACAGGTTATGTTGAAACCAAATATGGAAAGATGACATATACATATGGAAACAGGGATCCCAAACAACCCCAAGAACATTGTGTTTGAGAAGTAACAAGTTGGGTCATATTTCTTCTCGGTGTTAATAAATATATAACTAATTAACAACTCAAACCTAACATCAAAAGATAGTATGGTTTGACAAGAGAAAACTCTGCATCTAGTTTCGGATGAAGCAAATTATGCAGATTCCAAAAATGAAAAATCAATTTGAGATTTTGTTTGATTAATAAATACTACCTTGAGAACTGCTCTTTAATGGCACGACTGTCCTTTTTGAAATATAAAAGGTATGTTGAAAATAGCCTAAAATTTTAACTGTTCTTTACCTCACTTTCTGCAAGTAATTGCTCCAATGCCTTTGGAAGATAAGGAAACACAGATGCTCCTAAGGTGTCCACCATACGGTGTATGAACGATAAAACCTAAACACCAAAGAGATTAGCTTTAGCTAATGTTTTAGACTGAACGAAACCAAGTTAATTCAATATTCAGCATTGAGCTATTACCTTAGTCCGCAAAGGCTCTACCTTTGGAAATACAACAAGAATTTGGAGAAGAACATCCAATGTCTGGATAAAAAAATAAAGCAAAATTTGATAAATTAAAAAATGGCACTATTTCGTTCCAGAACATCCACATTAGTAATCTAAAGCATACATACAACAATTGATCAGTTAAGAACTACTGGAGGGAGATACAATATATAGAAATTTCTCAACC